GGCCTTGACTTTCCCCTGTGTCACAAAACAAATATCCATAAATGCTTAAGTGCAAGACCTTTGATGTACTCTTATAAAAAAAATGTTCTCTCGTGATGCCCCTAAAATGCTGTTTGATGTAATTGTAGTTTACTATGTCAAAATCCAATGCAAACTTTCATACAGGTGTGCTAGGATAAGCAAAAAGCAAAAATACAGAAGATCTCCAAGAAGGCAGAAAAGGTTTTTTGGTAAAGGCTTAGATTCTGCAAAAATAAAGTCTTCTTTCATTCATTTCATTAAATCTACCAATTAAAAGGACACATTTAAGCAATCTTGGTATGTAATACAGTTAAGTGTAATTCAAAACCAGACTTGTAAGCTGTTTAGAGGCATGGTACTCGTGGACAAGTGGGAAGCATACCCTGTTAACAGATAAGATATCATGACTAGTCATGGACAAATGTGTATCAAACTAGAGTATGTATGTATGGTTGCAATATCACATACACGGCATCTCCTCAGATCAGTCTAAATGATCATGAGGCTATACATGGCACACTGGTACTTACATGTTTTGGAGGTGCTAGACAGTTCAAGTACACACACGTACATGTGTAATTTCAACAATAATTGCTGTCAAGGTAACAAGCTTAGCTGAATGACGTACCTCTCATACTAAAACCAGTTGTATGACGTTCAATAAATGAGCTAATACATTCTTGAATAATGGGTTGTTTTGTACAATTGGCGTATTCTGTTTGTACATGTGTACACTGTATATCTGTTTCAACTGCAAAGCATGTTTGCGGAATACTGTCTCAGAAAGATATATTTTCTGATCTGTGAAAAGCAGTTGTACGTTACTGCTCAAAGCTGGATCTGGAAGGGACTTTTAAAACATGTTCCCTGGATAATGCTTGATGTATGATTGAAAAAATAATCCAAATCCAGTATTTACATGTAGACAGAGATGATATTCCTGCCACATTTGTATACCATGTTTGATATGTCATCTATACCGGGAGCTTTCCCACTGGACATCTGCTTGATAGCTTTTTGGACTTCAGTTCTGGTTGGGGCATTACGCATGAGCTCCTCTAGAAAGGGGTTTTGCAGAAGCAGAGATATGGCATCTTCTGAAACTGATTCTCAGTTGAGGACACCTTCGAAGTGTTCAACCCAGTGTGCCAGGATGCGTTCTTGACCTTTGATCAGGGTCTGGCCATCAGCGGAATATAGAGGTGTGCTGCCCCTAGATGTTAAACGTTAAACTGCCTTCAAGCCTTAGTAGATAGAGTGCCTTTGCATCACTCCTGTCAGCCGTTGTCTGGAGATCTTCTGTCCTTTTGATCCATCATCGATCCTTGCATTCTCCCTCATTACAGCGTGGTGGCCAATAACTCTGCCCCAGTTTAAGCGATCAGTGACTATATGAGCACTGAAGCCTCCCAGGACCATAAGTTTGTCAGAGTTAGGGGTGCTTGGATGAGCCTGTCAAGTTGTTCATAGAACTGCTCTCTGGTTTCGTCTGTGTGCGTCATGATATCTGACCTAGAAAGTTGAATTATACATCATATCTAAGATTTTTTATGCTCCTTACAATGGTACCAAATTCAAGTAGATAGAATAATTTTCTCTGGTCACATACCTAGGCTATTGTAGCTTATGGAAGCCTAGGATCCTAACTAATAGGGTGCCGTGGACATCCGGATAGGTGCATATACACTAATCATGGTAATGTATCTAAACACTATCTAAATGCAGATTCAGCGCCATCAGCCGCTCACTTACTCCATGAGGCACAGAATGAAGAAGCCTGTGGTAGCAAAACCTTGCTGCAAAGCCTATGTGAGCCTGCTGATGCTCATTTGCTGGTCATCCATTGCAACGTGTAATATCATTCGGTCAGCTGGATGTGGTCAGGTAGATTGGTCTTCCTCAGGGCTGCAATGCCGATGTTGAATTGGCGGAGCCCCTGTGTCCCAATGGCTGTCCAATACTAAGTTCTTGGTAGTGTCTTGCAGAGTACGAACATTCCAAGCAGTGCTGTTTATCTCATTTGATTCGATTGACTTAGCTGATTTGTTCGATTTCTTGTTTCTGCCGGCACCGCAGAGTTAGATGGCTAGCCCGTCACAGTAAGCAAACAAGTCAAGGTGGAGCAAGCTTTGTTTAGGGGAGCTTTTATACCTCAAACAAGAATATTTAAGTGGAAACCCTGTAAATATTTCCGAGACCTAAAATTTGGCAAGGAGCCAGATACCAAACACACTGGGCAAACCGGCTATAGTAAGACACACAGGACATAGGGGTATCAGTTCATTTGAAATAATGGACCACCGCGTCCATTCAACACATTACCATTGTGGCCACACCAAGGACACCACACTGTCACATGTCCTTATACCAACCAACAACCATGACATGGATCTGCACATGTTGGCCTTGACCCTGATACAGGTCAGCTAACTGTACGCGACCTCCACAAAGACTACATGTAACACACCTTGCCTTCACATTAGCTAGTTGGCCCCCAACGAAACCAAAGGGCACTGTACCTTGGCCCCAACGAAATCGAAGGGCACCATGATCAAAGTTACAGCTCTTAATTAAGCAAATAAACAATCGAAATTCCCCAAGTTGGAAAACGAGGGGGGAACAAGCTACATATTCAGCTTTATTTCCAGTAAAGTAATCTTTGGCACAGTAGGCCTACATGGCATACACAAACATTGGAGATATTCTTCTCTCAACGAGCAGGTAAAGTTGATCAGCTGATCTGTGTGTGCAAAACATATCATTTGCAGATTTCATGAAACATAAATGGGATTAGATGTCATACCCAGTACTTATCTTGACGTATGGAAACCATAGAAACAAGGGGCACGTGTGTGGTGCAGACACACCCCCCTGCCAGCAGAAGGGAGGTCCGCTTAATGATGAGTTGATATTTTTACTTCTTAAATGAAACAGCAGTACTTTATTTTATTAAGGTGAAAGTATGTGGGTTTTTTATACGTGATGACCGAAAGTAAAATAGCAAATACATGTACTTGGGGCAATCTGCTTTTCACATGCACACTTGCCTTCCTCGTTTAAATGCTGGATGTTGGAGTTTTGCTTTCTTCACAATTACACCCGGAGGGCCAAACTAGCCTATGTCCCTGAGAAACACATAAAATAGCTTTGAACATCTCTTTATTTCTCATGTGGAATTTTTTTTCTAAACCTAAATATAGCCAGGAGAAGAGTTACCTGGTTATTGTTAATATTATATGTGTGATACAGTATACCTTATTTCAAAGACTTCAGCAATTCATAGTGGTCAGATTTATTGTACTTGAGGAATGCGCTAATTCCAGCTCTTGTGTGTTCTGTTTCTCTTCAGAGGGCAACATTAATTTTGGATGACTGCAATGCGGCTGTGGCTTTGCATCATGGTGAACAGTTGGGCAATTATTCCTGTGCAGCCTCAGTCTTGCAAGGCGGCCAGCTGAAGTAAGTATCATATTTTTTTGTCACACCACAGTCCCTGTTAAAATAGTTGAAACTGCTTGTAGATTATTTTGCTAAAAATAAAATGGCTTAAAATGTTGTCGCCTTCGTTGAGCACTTTAAACTTCAGTGTATTTAAACGAACTTTACACAGGATTGTAGCTGTTCGGGCGACTGAAAGCCAACATAAAGCCTCATCCACAGCATCACAAGCGGAATGCTTGTTTTTTTTGGGGGGGGGACTGAGTAGTTGTGTATGTTTCTAAATCATAAATGTGCATGAACATAGGCAAACCCTTTCTGGTTTTCATTTTAACATTTTTAGAGACAATCTAGAAACATGAAGACTGCTGCTGTTTTCTGCCTTACATCAACACGCACACTTTTACATTACATTCTTCCTATGTAATTAAGAGAACTCAGTGAAATTAATCAGCTTTCTTAAACTGCTGGTACTTCTCTAAAAACTAGGTTTTTGCATATGGTTTCCTTAAAGGTACAGTCCATCATTTGTCATTTGTGTATTATGTTCCTCTGAGGCAACAAAATTACTCGAAATCTAAAGAAGAATGTGTGAGAACAAACCTGATAAAGTTTCAGCTCAGTTAATGCTGTACATTATGGGAAAATCCGTACTCTGGGACTTTGATTTCAGATCTAAAGTTGCTGAGTCATGTTTTGAATTACACCTGAATTCAGCGACTGGGACATGTTCTCATATTCAGTTGATTGCAGCTATATACCATGTCAGTGAACCAACAAATTATAGTAACCATGGGTGTGCGTGTATCGTGTCAAGGCTTATGTGTGCTTCTAACGCCAATTTTCCAGAAAGTAGTCTCTTAGACACGTCATTGGAAATGGTCTTCTTTGATTGTCATCCTCAAAATGACACCTTGCCAGAAAAGTATAATTTCACAGGGTGTTTGTTTCTATTACCATTTCTAAACAATTATACTTTTCAATAATAATTTCATCATAATTTGGCTTTATTCAAAAGAGGTTCGCACAACCTGTATATTGTGTTAACCTATTTTGTTCTCAGGCTTAGATCCACACAAGGATGGCAAAGTTGGCATAAGGTGCACAGTAACAATGGCGTTACAATTTATTTGTATTCCAGTGAAAGTCATGCCAGTAGGTACACTGCAGTGCATGATGTTGCCTGCTTGTA